TTCGATGTCTTCAGTTAATCCTCACGAGGTACCACGCAAAACTTTGAACAAAACAGAAAAAATGATTATTGTCATTCTCGCCTCACTGTTTGTGAGCAAGAGTGACGGAGAATTAATGAAACCGATACCACGCCATATATGCGGCGTTGTGATTCTTCTGGTCATTGTCACATAAGTCATGTACGTAGTGAGTAGCCTACAAGTACATGTACATGTATAGCATTGTAACAGTGTACATGTATATTTATCTGCGGCCATATATTTGCTGAGGTCGTGTTGAAGACCCGTGGAGGAGACTATTACTGCGATAACAGCTTCATCAAGCTTAGTTCGCATGATGGATATCTTGACAGCTATAGCCTGATTAAAACTTGTAAACTAATGACGTAACACAAGAAGTTTAATGACACCAGTGTTCGACTCCACGCGACCGGCCTCGGCAAAAGCGCTCGGTCAACAGTGTCACTCAAACCGGTTCGATAACTTCGCAAGTGCGCAGTCCGAAACAGTTATCGCAAAACCCATGGTCAACCGCGTGCAGGCAGCCACAGCATCGGCGTCCGGGTCTGAGCGCCATAATACTGGGAGTCAATGTTTGGGGACCTGGTAAAGAAGATGGCGATTAAGGGAGGACAAAACACATAATCACCATAACAAACACGGCTCAAGTACGCGGGAAGAGCTTAGCTGTATGAGTCGCTGCATTGCGACGTCGGGGGGGGGGGGTTCGGTCGGTCGGGGGGGAGCTGGTCCCGACCCTTAGTATTTGTTCTCTTGTAATGATTCACACGGTTTGAGATGGGAATCAATGGACTACACGGGTCGTGTTGAAGATTGCCTCCAGAAGTCAATGATCATGCGCGTAGATGCGAGACAGTATCGACCATTATGGGGTTCGTTTAATTAAGAGTTGTCCTTTGTTTCTTTATCTTAATCTTGAAACTAGCAGGAAGTATTATTGCCGATTAAGAATGTCACGTGTCGCTGTCAATAAACAATAGCTATGTTGGATTTAAAAATACAAAGGCAGAGCACCTTCCGTTTTGTACAAGCGATGCATGAAATTGTGTCACACCTCACAGCTCATTTTCAAGGCTCGGGTTTTTATTTTTTGAGTCTTAATACACAAAACAGACCTCGATTTGCAAACAAACATGAATAGGAAGCACGCTTTGTTATGACTCAGACTCAATTTGTATACATGTAGTTGCTCCTTGAAAAGAGGCCACTTACTGCTAATTTAAAGATTTAAAATGTGTAGTTCTTTGGAAAAGTATAGATGCTGAAATTTCCAGGAGAGGAACGGCGCATTACCAAGTTTCGGCTGCGGTTCAAGATGATAATTGATGGAAATTGCCTCAAGAATCCTTGGGTTCTGCATACATCCCGGGAATTCGTCCGTGTGATTGATTCGCTCCCATAATCCCACTGATTTGCTGGGAAAATATGTCTAATCTCAACAGAGCAGAGGCTGACAAAAGACAGCAATCCTGTCAGGGGAGACACCGGCGTGGGGAAGCTGGGATCGGTCTCGGACAGGGCGAAAGAGTGGGGAGGAAAGGGCTTTTTATATTAAATTCCCGCCGCAAGTATCAATAAGGAAGACTGTTTCATCGCGTCGGTGCAGCGTAGTAGCACCGCCAGGTTGTTTGGAGAACCCTGGAGGAAATACCAGTTTCGCACTCCCATCACGTCAGCCGTCAGATTTTGGCCTGATTCGAGCCTGTCAACCCCGGTTCTCGCCCTATTCATCAGCCTGCCTGCTACAGTCCTGTGTGCGTCGCGGCGAGCCCGGTGGTCGTAATCGGTGGGGCGGAGTTTACGGTGCACACCGGCTTCATTTATACATAAACATACCGTCGCCAGGCGCAGTGCACATCATGACACGGACCCCATGCTCACTGAAGAAATCTGAATTGCGGCTTTTAAATATTAAAATGAATGCATATAAACAATAGGATTTCGAAAGAGCATGGCATACATTACGAACATTTTTATACAAAACCTGCAAGAACTCCGGATGTGCATGCAAAAAGGAACTCGCTTATATCATTTCAAGTAATATTTCGTCCGATAATATTCCAAAATATCAGCCTATTGACTATAAAAAGTGAGTAATTTTACTCAAGTTTACTTTTTCACATTCTTTCGATAGGCCTACTATTTTCTCCGAGTAGGCTCTACCGCTATTTCATCACAGACACCTAGTTAGTTGATATCTGTAAGCCTGTTCCCTGAATTACCGGTATACGCCTGTTCCTGTATCGACTTTCAAATGATATCAAAGAGATTCGTGTTGTTCCGATGCATTGTGATTACTCAAACTTAGCCATGTCTAAGAGAGATTTGAATCCATCTATGCTCGCGGAGCAGACAAATTAAAATTCTCCTTTTATGGGCTGGCGGAGAGGGACGGAGGGGGTTGTACCGAGCGTGCCAAATTAGTCAAGTAGGGGATCCTGACTGTCTCTGTCCGGTGCCAGGGGTACCTCGTGTCTTTTGTCAACCGGTCAGGAAATTTTCAGATCTTAAAGAAGAGGCCTTACAATGCCCCTGGGGCTGATTGACAGCCTGCACAATAACAAGGGAAGCACCGAGGATAATTGGCCATTGTCTAACCGCCAGGCGAACTTCGATGGATATCCCTTGACGAATCTTCAGAGTGACGACTCGATCCGGCTCCGAAATGACACTAAGCAAAAATGAAAGTGACACTTGGATCGGGAGCCGGACCGCTAGCAATAATTGGCCTGGCCTCGCCCTGCATCGACCAGACGACACAAAGAAACAATCCTCCATCTCTGCTCTACAAGCCAAATTATCCACACATTGATATGTATATAATTGACGCAAGGACGAGGGTTTTTTTAACAATCATATCATTGTGTCAGGAGTTTGGGACCGTATGATACTGAACAACTCACAAATGAGCACCCCCTCCGAGTTAAATAAAACGTCCCTCCATGCCAGCCGAGAGCATTCCCGTCATCTACCGGTGTCATGTCACCTGTCTTTGTTTCATTAGGTTGCCCTCCTTCGCCACCCAGGAGTTTGTTGGTTTATCAACAAGGGAGACCAGTCTTCGTGGGGATGACTTCAACAAGAAGGGAAGAGGATAAAGATAATTAGGAGAAGTAGCCCTGCAAAGGGCTGGAGCCGTTGTTTGTAACGAGGAGAGAAGCGGTCCTTGTTGTGTGCACAAGGCGCTGAATGGGAGGGGGACGTGACGACAGTAATGAGAATACTAGAATGTCATCTCCACACCTTTGTTGTGGCCTAGGCTGGCTTTTTTTATCCGGAAGAGGATTGGAACTCTTGGCTAATTGGGCAGCATCGTTATACCGCAAGCCAATCTCTCATTCTTTTCCCCTTCTGCCACTCTTTGTGGGGCGTGAATGGGAGAGGTAGCCAACCAGGGGCCGGGGTACCAAAAACTCGCTGTAAATGGACGATAGGAATCCTAGTGTGCAAGATGTGGGGGGGGGGTTGGGGAAGACAAATTGAAGACAATCTAACTCGGTGTCTTCTCCCTGACAAGGAAAGTCTGGGGGTTGTTAGAAAGAAGAAGAAGAAGAAGTCTTCCCAGCGGGTTGCTGGACGCAGTCCTGCCCATCTAAAAGGGCTGATTGGGGTTGATACCTCATGGCTTCCGACTACCTGCTGTGATGGAGATGAGCAATGGGCGGTCAGTCACCCCCAGCGATCTAGCGAACACTCCCTACAACCCACAGCTACAGCTATATTTCCCCAAGGCGTCTGGCTGTATGTGAAAGGGGCGAATAAAATAAATGATAGATCAGGCTTCCCTCTGGTTTAACTTTTGTCCCATTTTGTCCTCATGCAGTACACTAAAAGTGTAAATCCGCGTGAGTTCTGCAATCATTTTAGTAATTCTGACAACACAAAAACCGAGTCAACGGAAATTATGTTGACACTTTCTTTTTCCACGTTATGTAGATTGTTACATTATCCTTCTGTTCTTGTGTTGTTAACATCGATAACATGTTCAAATTCTTGTACTCAAAACTGATGCCTTATCAAGGCTTGTAGATTTATCAAGGTGCCCATGCTGATATCATTTTACACTAGGTAAAAAGATCTACCCTCTCTGCGTTATAATTGTCAGTGTTCTGTTTATCCACATGCTCTGGAATGAATGGTCGACGGTACTGTTCAGAGGCTATTTGAAAATGACAGTAAAGTTATTGTGATATTGGACTTTCCCATGTTTTTGTACAAGGAATGTCTGACTTCTCTCGACATTCGCCGTACAATCCTATGGGAATGTCCACTGGGTCCAGAAAAATCAAACATTTGTTGTACAAACTTATGGGAATGTCCAATGTCCAATGTCAAACTAACTTTACTGTCATTATTTGAAATTCTTATTTGGCTACAGTCCATAAATTTTCAAGTATGAACCCCAAGTAAAAGTAACAAGGAAAACGGTTTTGTTGTTTTACCTCGGTTTTAAAGAATCAACTATGATCAATTCTCGCATGCGTACCAAACACTCCATTTGTACACTCCAAATCCTGGACTACCTTAAGCAGTTTACCCGTAGGTCTACTAGAAGAGACAACCTCAGCTCCAGGAGAGACAACCTCAGCTCCAGTTTAGAGACAAAAATTGGTGTCGTGTAGGAGACTTCGTGTCTGAAACCATTGCCACTCGTGTCATTTGGTGCTATTGTTCGAGAGTGAAGTGGAATCTTCAAGTTTTCCTCAAGACGGTTATGGACCTATTATGAAAGTGACTAGTTGTGAAAGGGGCAGTATCGCTTTTTAAGTAATTCACAAAAGTTGATTTCTTGTTACTGTCTTACCGTCCAACCACACGAGTTTAATCACCTTTACTTCCCTTTATTCCCAATGTGTGGATCTATAGTTGAAGTATGTTCCTTGAACAGACATAATCCCAGGGATTTATAAGATATCTCCCTCACACACACACACTTATACAATAGAAGTATGAAATACTGCAAAACTCAAACTTTCATATACTCTTCCAAATTGTGATTTATTATGAAACTTGTTTTCCGTGGTACCCAGCCATAGATACCAGTCATTAACGACACTATAGAGAAACGCAAAGTTTGGTTACACATGAAAATTGGAATAATTATCAGTCCACGATACTGAGTTCCTTTCCACAGAGTCTGTCTAGGAATAGTCGAACAAAATTCTGTATGTACACGTGATGACACAAAACCTTCAGCAAAGCGACACAGTACAGGGAGAAAGAGAATGCAGGGAGACGTTAGGATCGATCGAAACCTACACAACAACCAAGAGTGGTATTCTGCCCCAGACGAACTTTTGAAAATGCGCCTATTGTGAGAAGAGAAAAAAAACAGAATTTCATTCTCCCATACACTCGTAGAACACTGACAAAATCTGCTTTTTTCAATTGAATTATGCTCCAGGCTGTCATGAATCTACATGGATCAGTGTGAATGCCACACAAGGATGCAAGAAAAAGAGTACCTTTAATAGAGTTTTCTATTATGTAATTTGCATAACGTCCATCCAGGCTGCTATGCGAGTTTGGAAAGATATCAGGAGTTTAAAACTTTGTGAAGTATTGCTGAAAAAGAGATGATGTTTGGAGGCTGACATTTAAAAAAAGATCTCTACAGAACTTAGATTTTAATTTCTGTTACTAATTATAGGACAACTCGTAACACAGGGATGTTTTGCAAGATAGGATTGATTTACAGTAAAATTATAAGGGACTCTCTTATAAAAATGTTAATGGGCATTCATTGTATTGTTTTGATACTACCACCAAGTCACGTAAAATGACTTCTGAAAAGCTTCAATGGCATTAGCCACTTGAACCCATTACATATCCCAAGTTGATGCATTAGCTTGTAAAAATCTTTTGCGCTCTCAGCAAAGAATGCTTGAATACTTTTCAAGATTATTTAATTCGTTTTTTCCCTGATCAAATTGGACAGTGGCTCCCAAGAGCCTTTGCCAATAAAATCCTCCACGATGGTACAGGTTGACCAAACTTTGGGATAATCCTTGGCTTTGAAGGCGAGAAAATGAATTCCAATTGATATCTGCATTGATGCAAAAATAGGCATTTTTTTGCTTCCAGTTGGCGCGAAACGGTAGTGGATGAAACCGCCAACTTCACCGAGCGTCAACAGCGGGAAACATTGTCTTTGTTGTAATATCTTGAAACCGAATAATTAACATAAGTATGGAACAAATATTTCATGATTGAAATCATGAAATTTGAAATCGTGAAAATGAATACATATAAACCCTTCTGTTTGAATATCACCACGAACCTCCGAGCAAAACTCTTCTCTCTTTACACATGCACATTTGCAGAGAGCACCGAAACCGAACAGCAATAACTCTTACAAAATGAAAGGCAAAAGGTACAAAAGGGTTGGAACCACAGGTCCAGTAAACAAAGATAAAGATACAGTTTGACTGTTGTCGTTCTCTACAAACCACAAACTCACAGCTTTCACTTTTATATTTTCTAGTCAGACGAAACCTTAAGAAAACGAAGGTAAAATTGGTGAAACTAGTGAATTGTTCGGATAGGAAACACCGATAGAGGTTTTTTTATGAGATTGAGGGAAAAAAACAAGAGAATGATAAGAATTTTGAACTATTCCGTTTTCTATCAGAAAGACTTTTTAAAAACTTTTGTTGAAAAGGAATTATGTGTCCTTCGCCAATTCTGCACAACATTCACCTCTGCGAGTGAAGACAATTTTGTTGTGGGGAGAAATATCAATATCAGAATGAAAAATTCTTATACCACCAAATGTTAGAATAGGTAGTTTTCAAGAAGAATGGTTGTGGGCGAATGAATACTGACTGGATATTGGGAAAATTATTTACGCCACAAAAAAATGGGCAACAGATGTTCTTTTGCTGAATTTACTACAATTGTTTGGATGAAATGAAGAACATATCTTTTTCTAAAAAAAAAATCAGTAGACACTTGAATTATGGTTTGATGTGAAGCTCCCTTGCACGACTCGAGGAAAAAATATCTGACTGGCAGTAACTTGTTCATCTAATACACGTATATTATTTATACATTTTAATGCTGCATTAGACAAGAACAAAAAAAAAGAATAATTACTTCTGATAAATTCCTATTCACAAATATGCGACTGATATTAAATATCAACGGCAAAAAGGTCCGCGTTGACGGCTCAGTGACGTAAGCAGAGTTGTTAGGGGTTTCACCGTCCGACTAGCACGGCCATAATTTCTCGGATTATGTCTGACATAACCAATGGCGTTAACTCTTACAATGTTAGCGATCTCCCGGTCGTTTGAGTTTTCTGCACCCTCTTCTTCCATGCACATGTAGAAGACACGGGACCTCTTGACGCTAAATCCGCTCATCGATCGATCGTTCGTGCATGGTTGTTACACGGAGTTTTGCACCAACTGGCACGCCTCGAGTTCACCCGCCACTGTCTCCGTTTTAAGTCCAGTCGCGGGCTAGGTGCTCGCGTGACGGGACGGTCGGGTAGTGTAGAGCGGCCAACGTCCGGCGAGCAGGTCGTCAGTGCGGCGGCCGCGGGCTGACACTCCGCGGTAGCAAGGGGGAGCCAATAGGGCTGACATTGGGTGACCCGCTGTCGGGCGATTCCTCCCCGGGTAGCGTGGTGGTTCCCTCCGTCATAGACAGCCGGTGGATCGGTGGCCCACTGTTGGCATTGGCGCTGGAGTTCTGTAGAGCTTGTTGTTGCTGCTGTTGCTGCTGTTGCAATCTGTACACAACCAGGAAATCAAAAATAAGCCTTTTCCCACACCAAACCTATGTCTTAATTTGTTTACTTACAACACAGACCCCGTTGATGAAAGAGTTACCAAAAAACATTCTGAAAAAGAATTCTGAAATGATTTGCTCACTTTTATCCTATAGTTTCACCTTTGAAACAATGTTTCGTAATGGCAATTCTGGGTAAGTGAAGGTGAATGAAAATTAACGACTACTTTTTCACATGCATTTCACGAAAAAGGTGAAACATCGAGATCTGAACCCCCCTGAGGGATGTGCGCGCTTCGAAATGAGAGATATCTCAAATCATTTCGAGAAAAATCTTGAATATACTGGTATTGACCTCATTACAGGAATCGGCTTACTTCCAGATCTCATGTAAAGTTTTCCACACCCTGAAAGGAAAAGCCGTCCCGGAGTTCAACATCTAAATGACAGATATGGATTAATTGTCTGGAAGTAATTTCAGCTGGATCCCGTAAACAAGGGGACCTTGAAAACTATTTCTTAATCGCTTGACTCATCCGCCCTGGCCACTCACGGCGATCAAAAAGACACATGCGCTGCCGTCGACTCCATCCGAGAATACAGAAAAACTGGGTTGAGTTGAATATCAAAATTTAATAAAAGTTAACTTATGCGCAAAGCAACGCCGGGTATTTGATCAGCACTGGGGAAATGAGACTGTTTTTAGATGGCAACTCCAATTCTCAGGAGATGGGAACAAGACCTCGAGCACTGTTTTTTTTTTTTTAGTATGGGGAGCATATGTTGTTGTCTCGAATGACTTCGCGAGTTCTACACAAACAATGGAAATCCTTCCTTGAAGTGAATTTGTAGAAACAAACTACACTACCCTGCATTAAGCAAGTATATTGAATCGCTGAAGATTGCCAGAAGATTACAAACATTATCCTTTATTTAAAAAACTAAGACAGTACTTTGATCCTCAGAATTCCTGACGTAAAAACTATACATGTACCAGAAAAATTATCGACGAGTTGAAATTCTTTGTTCGAACAGGACACAGAGAGCTGAGAATCATAAATCACGCTGAATAACCAACAACCAGTGTGACTTATGTAAAGTAAAAAATACATGTCATAACAAAGGCTGCTGAAACTGCATAATCGAATCCTTTTCCCTCTCCGCACAGGGTGTAAAAAAGAAACCCTTGTACCGAGCTCCCTCAGTAATCAAAATTGTTTTGGAAAGAGTCAAGCTCAATCATTAATGTACCACACACGACCAGATTGAACAAAACTTCCGAGAAGATCGACAAATACGAAAGAACAGATCCGAAAATCGGCCGTGAGACGCGCATACCTTTCGGGGACTTGTGTACAGTTTGAAGCAATACAGAGCGCTCTTGTACGAACACGCACACCGGACATTGGCCCACAATAGCGTTACACACTTCAGCGGTGTTCATTAGTACTCACCGGGTCTCGAAATCCAGCGCTACTTATTTACTGAATAAACAAACGCCGAGAATTAATCTGCTGGCCAGAAATGAGTTCTTTTTTTTTGGATGGGAAATGAAAACAGGATATGGCTGCACTTTTTCTGCACAGAAAGCAGCAACAACAATGCGAGTCCAAAGCGATTGTAACCAGAAAGTTTCCTGACAAAGCACTAGATTTTTCTTACATCAAACCACCAGCAAATACATTTTGTTCCTGGCACGAGACTAAAGTTTCAGGCAGTCATCTGATTTACACCCATCCATTAAGTTGAACCAAGGTTTGAAACGCAACACAGTGACCCTCTTTTTAGGAAAAAAAGTGACGTTCGACCTTCGTAGCTGCCGGTGCAAATTTTACAATAGAGCAATGGTGGCACTTTCACATTACAGCTATGAACTAATGTGCACTCTAACTCCCGCAATAGCAATTATTGTTTTATTTTTGGTGCCAGTGTAAGGGTTAACTTTGGGCAGTTTCGAGGGCAAGAACTATGTAAATATTCCCGTGTGGTAAGATGATATACAGTCAGTGCACTATGTCTAATTTGGCGTGCAACGTTGGCCGCATACACTGGAAGGTGTAAAGATTGACAAGGCGGGCGCTGCACTTCATTCAGCGGGGGAGCGCCGCTGCGCCACGCCGTGCGTTTGGCGTTTAACACCGCCAGACAAGAGGGACAACGGGTATCATGGCTCGTGCAGCTGCGGAGTCTATCCGCTCCAAGACAATCGCTTCCCTTAAAATCGGAGGGGGCCCTACCAAGCGTGAACTTGACTGTGAGGGGGTAAATCGAGCCGCAGACTGTGGGCTGTCGTGTGGCGACTTCCATTCTTTATTCCGAGGTGTCGAATATTGTCTGGGCTGATGAATTCGTTGACGGTGACATGGCAGAAAGCCAATCTCGTGCCAAGAGCACACGTGGCCCTTTCTGTCATATTTCAATGGTGAACATACAAACCTACATAGAGCAAATACAGTTGCCTGTTCCCCTACCAACAGATGGTTTAGGCCAACGTGGTGGTTTGTCAAAAATCAAGCCATTTCTGCATGTAAACCGATAATATCCAACACTTTTATATCAAGATCTGAGATCACAACATTGAATTCTTTCGACAGTTAATAGTAACAGTCGTTGATAGTATTACTAAGGTTTCTACATTGGTATGATATTGACTAATTAAGCCTCGGATTCGCTGATTAACTACTTTTTACCAACTAGCAAACAGCCATCCTCCTTGGCAATGGAATCATGACGTCTCGGGGCACTGACTCAAGAAAGAGATGACGTGAATGACAGGAAACCCCCTTTGAGGGAGTTGTAAGTTAATACTCGCTAAAACAAAATGGCCGCGTATTTAAAAGTCCAAAGCTGGAAAAAAATTAACCAGTCTATTGACAAAATACTGTTGCTTTGAATGTTTGTAACCCTGGAAATATACTCATGATATGTGCGCAGTTTCCTTGCATTTTTTTCTTCAACTTTCAGATGTGTTATAAATGTGTTTATATTAGGTCGTCTTTTTTAGTTTTAAACAGTAAACGTCTACACTGAGATCTTTATACAACAGTTTTTTGGACAAGTTATATTTTGTTTATCTTTATTATCAATTCACAAGGCCAAACATTCCATTTCTCACAATGTTTATGTTTAAGCAAACCATGAAAAAGTGGTGCATTTCATAACATGACTTACTTTCACCATGGTTTCACCAGTCCTTTTAAAGCGATTATTCTAATAAAATAATATGACGTAGCAAGGCTGCGATATTTTTTTTCACAATCGGAATGCCTCTGTGACACTAAAAGGTTAATATTTGCACAGAAAGAAGAGCCCCCTTCAATCGTTTCATTAACGGCCCCAAAATTCAACCGACCGCAACGATATCACGGCACGTTTGCGCGTGTTCGCAAGAAAGAACTCTCGGGTGAAACGCTGGCCGAGAGAGATTTCGCCGATGCGGTCATCGGCCATTTTTTTTACAAGCATGAGATGCGAGACCGTGTAGGCGGCGTGTTACGCCCGCGGGCAATTCGCCGCTTGGCCCGGCAGACTGAAGCACACTCCAGAGTGATTCACGGAGTAGAATGTGTAACTAACCACGTAAACTTGGCTCCACATGCATGGCGGAATCAACAAGACGGGGCATTGCCGTGATGAGAAGAAACATCACGCTTGTTTCGAATTTTAAATAGCCTGGTGCTGGTACGGATTCTTGTATCGGTTTGACGTAACAATCGTGTAATCAGCCGTTTCGTTTCACATAAAACACCCAACTAAGGACACGTGATTAATAAGAACAATTTTTATAATTTCTGAATTCTTTTGGCTCTGAACCACGTTAAAATACCCATCATCTGTTAAGCATCAAATTGAATAAAAAATGACGAGGATCTAGGCACCCGCATCTAACCACTTGTCGAGCTGAAACAAGAAGGGGTAGACAATTCCGACTGTCATGAGCTCAGAATTGCTAACGTGCGGTTGAATTGGAGAAAACAAGGACAATAGCGACTTCCAACGAAATCTTCTCACAGGAGCGCCTTTGTTCAAAGTTCAATGCATCTTCCGTGTCTCTGCTCTAGCGTCTCAGGTTCTTGCATTGACCAAGTGGGTGTAGGGGTTTTTGTTGAGAATAGTGCACTTAACACCGCAGTCTATTTCATCACCTGCGCAAAGACAACGTATAAACACACACGCACATCCAGGAAGCCGTTTCAAAAGCGCCTAACTATCCACTTGTTTTCTAAGCTAAAGGAAGGACAGAGTCGCCTCATTATGTTAAGCACCACCTTTAGAAATAACCCTCGAGGGACGATCGTTTTAACCAGAAATCCTGGTGGTGGACCTCACGATCAATCGACCACATGATATTGATAATCACTCATTTATAACACTTTGTTTTCCGTTTAGAAACTAGACAATAAGAGTCAAATACCGGCTGTTACTGGCATTCTGCCGGTAGTGAGGGTATGAGCGGGAAAGCCAGGGGAATACAACAGTATACTTGCCTGTTCTTGGCCGCCGCGGCTCGGTCCCTCTGCCGTCGGTTCTTGAACCAATTTCCAACCTGCGTTGGGGTGAGTCCAGTGGCATGTGCTAGTTCTCTTTTCTTGGTCGGGTTTGGGTAGGGGTCCTGCAGGTACCACTCACGTAGCAGACTCCTCGTCCGCTCCTTGAAGCAGTGGGTTTTTTGCTCACCGTCCCATATCGTTCTGGGCAGGGGAAACTTCTTGCGCACCCGGTACTTGTCCACCGGCCCCAGCGGTCTCCCCCGGAGTTTCTCAGCTTCCTGGTAGTGCGCCTCCAGCCACATTGCCTGCAGCTTGGCATGCGACTCCTTGGTGAATCGGTGGTTCTCCAGGATGTGGTAGAGTTCTCGGAAGTTCCCTTGGTGAAAGGACACCACTGACCTGGCGCGGAGCACGCTCTCATTCTTGTTCAGGGCCTCGCACGTCCCCGGTGCCACGGGAAGGGACCATAGGAACCGAGCCAGCCGGTCCACATCCCCGCTTTCCTCCAACGTCTCGCAGACGCTGGCGATCTGAGCCGGGGTGAAGCTCAGCGTCGGTAGGGTCGGTAGCGGAAACATTGAGCCGAGCATCTGGACCCGTCTCTGGCGCTGTCGGGAGACACAGTGACACTCAACGTTTAGCGCCTCCAGTACTACTTACGCGTAGCCCGTCCACGATAATGCATACACACACATACATGTACACACACACCACCCAGCAACACCATTAGCGCTAACCACAGGGGTGGGGCTGAGAGCAGCGATATGTGTCAGTTTTTATCAGCCCGGCTAGTGACACGGCCCATATTATCGCCACTATCATGGGCAGCATTTGTTGGATAAATGGTTTTCGATTGGCTTAGAGGCAATTTGTTGGCCGGTCGCCAAGGCGACAGTGTCAATCAATGTCAGAGCTGTCAGTCATGTTATTAAAGAAACAAAGGGTTGACCACATGGGCTGGTTGAATAGCAGGTCCAATTACACACGAAAGGGGAAAGATTCGTGCGGCGAGAATCAACCCGATGCGGAGAAGAATAGATGAAATATCTTTACGCTCAACTGAGTCAATTCTGCTCGCACACGGTTGAAATCACTGTAGTTCAAGGGAGCGGGCCCGAATCAGCTCCACCGTAAAGACTGCGCACAATAAAGCCCCCAGTTCTCATAACAACCCGATCAGGTCGGCGTTTGTTATTGCCCAATTCTCGGCATGCACACCGATACTCGAGCATTATCATTCAGAGCACCGAGGCCCTGAAATGTCCCCCCAACGCGGACTGGAGTTGTCTCGACGGGGCAAGCACTCACAGACAACCCGTGAGTTGATCATTTTCTACCTAAGCTTTTTGCTTGCAAGGCACTTCAGGTAATTCTTAGAATAACAAAAAAAGAGAAAAAAATCGTTGTGGTCTGGCCGGCTGGTTGTAGCTGAGGTGCATGGCGCCCAATACGCATGTTAATTGCCACTAATTATCCTCTTTGTTATTCTAACCGTTTCGCCGGGCAAGAGCCGACTATTCAATGAGCAGGGGTCAATGCGCAGCGCTTGCTTCCGGCATCAGGAATATAACACGGGCTTGGGATTTTTTAATTCATATTTCTACACCCGTACACCTCGAATATGGCTTCGAGCAACGGGACGAAGTTAGGAGTTTTGCTGGCAGGATGCGATAGATTGGAGACGATGGCATGGCTACTAACCATGGTATAATCAGCGTGTAATCATAGGCAGAGCCCACGATATACACAAGCATGGCCGGCGGGCTATGTGCACGGCACCGCGCGTCGCTCGGTCTAGCAAAATGAAACGCAGACGGGAAAGCTGAAATACTGTATATTGTCTCGACCTATCCGGGGTGGGCTGCTATATTTTCTAAGCGATGGTGAGCGATCGTATTTGACATAATAGGTCGGCCATCTTCCCATGCTCATTTGGGCGTAAGCAAATCAAGCTGACTCGGTCAGAATTTGTGCCAGTCCGCACACGTGCGTGCACAATATGCAGGACAAAGGCAGTCGCATTATTACAGTGTAGCACATTTCCGTCTGCACTTTTTCATTATTGATGCTATAACATCGGCACACCAGAAAGTGATTCATTGTCATTGATTTTTTTTCCAATGGGGGGTTTGTTAGAGGAATGCAGGAGTGGAAAGGAATGGATGTGAATGTGACGTATTGCATGAACTGCAATTTCCACCAGTCACGCCGGTGGCGAATTCCATGGTTTCCTTTCTTTGAACGTGTAATTGAAGTTCGTACCCCATAGCTTTTCCTTTATCCCAGCTGACGGAAGTGACAATAAACAACATGTTGCTCACGCAGCTACGATTTCGAATTCTCGAAGTTGATACCAATAAACACCCCTTTTCCCGCCCAGAGCTCAGACCTGTAAGCCTGCCAGCCAACACTATAATTACTGCAATTTCCTCCTGCTAGCCCGCGCCGTCATGTTACCTCTTTTGTCGGCCTCTTCCGGTTATCACCTGTCCAGCAACCAGCAAGAATAAACACCGGTTTTTCCCGCCTTTCCGTCTAAAACCCATTTCTCATCCCCCCCTCTCAAGCCTAGCCCTGCCTCGCTCTAAATCGTAATCTTCGAGAATGCAATTGTTGACGTGCTGTTTGGCAAGACCGGTAAAGTGTAGATCAAGTTTCCAGGCAAGCGCCGAGAAAAAAAGGAAAGAAAAGACAGAAATAAAGAGCAGGTTTAGCATTATATTCAGATATCACAGAGGGCAGGGCCCAAAACCAAAGAAAAAAGGGTAGTCTTTGGAAAACTTGGTTGGACTCAGGGGAGATGAAAATGTGCACTATCGGAGGCCAACGGATAGGTGCTCGGTACACATACCTGCCACCAACACTCCGGATCGTTTTCGCGGCGAGTAAGACTTTCCCGACGCCTGTGTCAACTCGGTGCAACACCCATGCAAGAATTCTCGTGGCGCGCGCTCCTTTTTTCCATCCAAATTTACCGACGGCCATTCACACAGTATCGATATCCACATGAAAAATGGCCCTTACGGTTGATTGTCCTTTTCTTGCTATACTTTTAGCATATACAGACAGAGTAAGTTGATTAAATTGTAGCGCCGAGTCGAAAGAAGAGAAATCTCTTCCGTTATTTTATAGCAGTGAGTACACAGTTCAGAGCCTTTCTGGAGCTAAATTGGCGAAAAATTATTGCTTTTGCCGTATCAGCAAAATGACCATCCTTTTTTCTAAGTTGTGGAAGGAAAAAAATGCTTTCTGTTTTACTAATCGGGTGCAATCGAGACAACGTTTGCATCGAAACGCCTCCTACATCTTGAAGCTCCTGATTTGAATAAATTATGCATCACACGCCCAAGTTTTTTTTTGATTGGGCTTTTGTAATTGAATTGCCCTGCCAGAATTTTTCCCTTCTATCCTCACGTGCATTCGCGTGACGCTTTGCGCTAAATAACAAAAGGAATCATTGTCAAACGTCACAGTTTGGGTGTTTCGACAAGCCATTAGAAGGCGCAGAATTCGGTGTTTGCATAATTTCAATGTCATTTTGCTCCATCACGCGTGCACCCTGTTGATTTGCTCGGATTGGGGATGCTCCCACAATCCTATAACATAAATTAGTAAAACCCTGTCGGGGGTTTGCATGGCTGCCATTGTGGAGGGCAATGCTTTTCTTCCACAGAGTGTGCACATAGAAGGTTTCCTTGTGGAACAAAGAGAACTACCCTGCAACACGGCTGCACGTCGGGCGGAGCAAAAAATCCAAAATTAATTAACATCTCCCCGGCGTAAATCCATCCTTAGAAATAGTTATTCGCGGTACCCGCTGCTACATCTGACCAGCCAGCCGACACTGACAAGCTCGGTGGTCGAGTGGTTGAGCTGTCCACATAGTAAGCAGGAGGTCGTGTGTTCGAGTCCCACCCGAGTACGCTAGTGGTTTTTTCACAAGCCTGAGTATACAGTGTTGTAAATGTAATACATGTCTATAACCAGCAAGAAATGAAACCGAGGGGTACCCCCTATGTCCAATCGCTATACACACTCTGGACTTATTGCTACCTAACACATTCCTCAGATTCCAGTGAAACAATGACCAACACAAAGCAGGGGGGGGGTCCTCTCCGTCTCATATCTTGCTTCATGTGTACACGTCGGGCAGGGAAAAAAAACCAAATTCATCAACATGGCTATCTTGCAAAGCCTCTATAATTATACTCAGTTTGCCTAACTTTGCAACTATCGACTGAAATAGCAGTATAGATTGGAAACTCATTTCATCTGCACCTGCAAGCGACAAAGCAAACACGGCACATAGCATGAAATGTCACGCCGCTGTTTATTTGAAAGATTTCAACCAACCTTTAGGGCGCACACCGGAAAATTGTGGAATTATTTCATGACGTAAACAAGCAAGAGTATTAAACAATTTTAGAATCAAGTGAAAAAAAGACTTCAGAATGAACACAGCTTCTCGGACACAAGGTACATGTACACAAAAGGATTTTGAACAAGAACAAAACAAAGTGTTTTTGTGGAATCAGTCTTTGCATTCAAAACAATGTCATTACTTTCGACTTTTCAAGGGTCAAACTAATTTCAGTTCTTGACACTTAAGTTTATATTAGGGGAAAACGATATCATTTAAAAGTCTCATCAGACAGTGTCTCATACAGAAATAATTAGGTCCAGTCACTCATCCACCCCCAATAATCTAGGCGGTATAATTGCTTTTTTAACTCGCTCAACCAATTCCATAAATGACGAAAATAACCCGATGAATAAGATATTCATAGTATGCGATACTGCAATGCCACACACGCTTTTTTTAATGCCACTACTGGTACCAGCAAAGTTATGAAAATTGTTTCGAACCCGGACCTACCCTTCATTAAAACTCTCGCAGAAAATGCCCCGACGATACCAGGCTGTATGGAAATTTATAGATATTAAACCCCTGGGTAGACTGTATGAATTCGATATTGTTAATGTTTAGAATAATTGCATCGGGGAAGAACGACAATAACCATTTCGCCACCACGACTTGATTTCACTATCAACGCTTGATATATCAGTAAAGCCGTCTGATAACTGCCAAGTCACACAAGATCCACTATTTCAAAATTCATCTGATTATTGAAGTCATTGAGAGCCCCTTAATCTGCTTTGAGTTGTCTTCGGAGTTATTTCTAAAACAAATGGCGCCAACTTCAAAGTTTACAACAAAAATGGCTGTTCATTATGTGTACAATACTGTATGCAGCTATTGTGTGCCGGTATAGCCCTCGCACACTGATGCCTAATCCACCATTTTGGTTCCAACAATTGAAACGCTCATGTCGCAACTCTCTCCATAAAAAGCTCTGGTTGTAGGCTGCAGAAAGCGCCGACATACACTTTGCAACTTCCAGGTCTTCTGTTGGTTTTGGAATATTTGTCAGTGAAAAAGTAGTCTGCACAGTTTGATGAGTCACATGACCTAAAACCCAAATATGCGTCACACCATTGAGTTCCCGCGCAACCGTCATTGTGCACGTTATCTGTCTCAAATTTACTGTGAGCATTACTCATGTTGCTTAAGTCGATTTTGTTTAAATTATGCAGTAAAGTATTTTAACCAGTACAATTCGAAACAACTAACAAAATTTGAAAGGATAATGATGACTGGGTTTGTTTTTCTTGGGTTTTTTTTTTTAGAAAATGAAATTCAAAGAGTTGAAAACCATTTTCTGGCAGGTCAGTGGTGGCCATTAAGTCTTGCTGAATAGTGGATGCTGAACT